AGCCAGGCTCAGACCTCCGGGGCTGCCACCATTTCCCAGGAGTAGCCTTGTGGGCTTCGGGTCCTGGGCTCTCAAGGGAAGGGGAAACTGAGGCTAAGGTGGGCAGATGCAGCTGTGATGACAGACCCAGTCCTAAACCCAGCCTCACTGAGGGGGAAGCCCTGATCTGAGATGCTCTCTTGGGATTTGTTACTTCCCCGCTTGGCAGATGAAGGGAGGGGTGGCCGGGCTTCCCAGTGCCTCCTTCCACTTGTCCTCATGGCCTCTAACCCCACAGGGTCCACAGGGAACAGCTGGCAAGGGCTGGGAGGCTTGGCTGGCTGTGGGGAAAGGCAGTATTGTATGGGAAATACGTGACTCAGAGGCACCGAGGAGACAACTTACCAATGATAGTGCTTTCGTTTGAAGATAAATCTGCAAATAACTTCATCTTGTTTCTTTAGAGTCTGAAAGCCATTTCCATGAATAACCACATGGTAGGATCTGCAAGGACAACATTCAAAAGTCTGAGTGTGGAAGAGTGGAGGGCTGCTTCCCCTCTGACCTCCCTGATCCTGGAGATCCTCCCCCAAAACTGAATTTGCAGAGGCTCCTGTAAGGAAGGAGCAGTGTTTGACCAACATCTATGTGTCCACTGGGTCAAATCTTCATCTGGTGTCACTGAGGGTCCAGGAGGAGGCAGCTGGGCCTTAAGCACACTCAAGGACTCTCTCCCTACCATCCCTGAACCAACACGCTCAGGAAAGGCCTTGGTCCCTGCACAGTGCAGGCTCAAAGTGCTATTCCTGCCCTGAAATCTGTGGTGCTCCCTCAGGCCCCAGGGGTACTGGCTGTGCACTCAGCCAGGCCCTCCCTGATGTAAGGTGTAAGCGGAGCCATAATGCTGCCTGAAGACACCATGTCTCATGACTCAGCTGGGCACCCAGGCCTGGATGCCTCCTTCAGGGCTGCTGAACACTCGGGGTCTCTCCTCCCTGTCTTTCTGTGTGCCTGTGGCAGGGAGGACACCCACAGAGGCAGGGGCAGGGGCAGGGCCAGGACTGCTCAGGGGAATCTATCACAGAGGCCCAGTTTTAGCTGCTATTCCAGAGACCTACAGGTGATTCCTCACCTCCTGCTCTTCCTGACCCAGCAAGGACCACAGGGCACCCACCCTGAGGTTCAGGAAGTGTGTCCTTCCACCATTGTGACTCCCACCCTGAGACAAATATCACAGGGGACACAGGACAGGGGGGGGCTGGCCCCAGGAGCCAGCTAGGGTTCCCGCAGGTCTGAAGCTGCCAAGGGCATTGGCCTCCATGCCTGCCTCCTGGCCCAGGCCCCGCTCATTCCAATCCCTGCGGATGCCTGGGGTGCCCCTGGTCCATGCACCCAAGGAAAGCTTCCTGTGAACCCTGCTTCCTGCCTTCCTGCAGCGTCACACCTTCAAGGCGGGCTGTGGGTGAAGCTGGCCTGCTGACATGCTTTCTGAGGCTTTCAAGTACTTTCAAAAATGGGGGCCCACAGTTAAAAGCCTGAACATTTCCCCTAAATATCTAGATTTCTAGCTTTCTTGGAAAATGGGAAATGCAGGCCTCAGTGGGTTTGTGTTTCTCCATGTCAGCTCCTGGCTGGGACCTAGGGAACCATGCTCCTCAGATGAGGAGCTCTGAGGCCTGCCTCACTCCAAAGACCCGCACACTGACTGCTGACATCAGCCAGCTAGGCCTGGCCTGCTCTTCCTGCTCAAGGTGCCAGCCCAGCCCTTGTGGGCACCCACTTGATGGATACTATGCTGTCCTCGGAAGACCCTGGGCCTGGTGGGGGCACTGAGGCTGTGAGAGAGCAGGAAAGGCCAGCTTGGTGCCCTGTGCTGAGCAAGCAGACCTGGCCCCGCCTCAGGGCAAGTATCGGGTCCTCTCCCACCACTAAGACCGACAGCAACTGCTTCCAAAACTGATGCCATCAGGTAGCATTTTCAATATCTTCTTCGCTCAGATGTCCAAAGGGCCCTGGCCAGCCGGACCTGGGCTCAGTGTGTGCCCGGGAGGGAGCAACTGGGCCCCTTGGTCAGCCCCTTGGTCAGCCTGCACCCCTTGGTCAGCCCAACTCGGCCACCCTGAGCAGGACTGAGGGCTGCCCCAAAGCTTCAGTCG